AACTGACTTTTGTCGTTGTTCTGCACCTACCATATGGCATTTTGGCCAACATTTTCGGGGGTGCAGGAATACGCCAAATACGGTATAATTAATCAACTATTTTTACAAAAACTTGAACGTCTAAAAAAGTATTGAAGTCCTGCACATCAAAAATGTCTCCAAAAAAGGTGTGAACTACCAGTTTTACGTAGAATTTTTAACCGATTATGGTTTTGAATGTCATCCTTTACGTAAAGATTTTCCTTTAAGCGGTTATTTAGAAGCATATTATAATGAATTGTGATGTGGTTTATGAACCTGTACAATTAAATGAAGAATATGGATTATTCGATTTAATTCACCTTGGAATTATAATCTACATTGTATATACATTGCTATTAAGGAATTATTGAAATTTCGTGGTGTTTTTTTTAATACGAATGACATATATTACAAGGTTATCATTATCAGTATTAAATAAATATAGTCATAGAACCTTTACCTATTAAACTGAAGTCTCTGGAAGACTCGCCATGTTGCAAGCAGAAAAGTGCAGTGACAAAGGTTGTGTTGAGCTTCATTTTTAGAGCCTGCCACTTTTTTTTTAACGCGTGCACAAACAAGGTGTGGCACACCGTCCGAATGTGGCGTCCCTGCCCTCGCGCTCGTAGCGATTGCAATATGGGACACGAACGGCTAAAGGTGTCGAATCACGTCCCATGTGAAAAGGGGCCGGAACGTGCTACGAGCTCGCGTCGACGTAAACCAAGTTGTCGGATTCATAGCGTAGGTTGGATCCAGTGGCACCTTTGCTGGCTCAGTTCAACGAGCAACCCGCAGCTCGTATTCTTCCCGCTTCACGTGGAATTACCGCCCCATTTGCGCATATCCCGAGCTCCTTGACGCTTCCCTCCTAACGAAACTTAAGCCATTCTGTTCGCAACGCGATCGAATGGGGGTGTGCCCGCACCGTCCTCCACATCCGCGGCGGCACGCCATCGCCCCCAACTACAGCTGCTTCGCCCCCTTTCCTCCCCCGACCATTGATTCCATGTTGTACGACTGAGAAGCCCTGCAATTCCTGCATTCTGATGCGATGGACAAGTTCTTCGAACCAATGCCGACCAATATTTAATCGATGCCAAGGAATAGTTTGGTTGCGTAAGATGACCTTGGCGATGGACACAGTCAGGACTGGATAGGTGGCACGGGGGATACCTTGGACCTCGCACCTGGAGCAGTGTTGTGGTGAAATTCGAAGATGGCGGGTCAATCCTAGTCGAGAACGGACTACGGATTTCTTCCTCCGCCTTTGCCCAAAGATACGAACTACCAAATGGAGTTCGTTGAGGCGAAGTGTTTATGTTGCAACAGAGGCGCTTCGCTGCTGGGCTAGTAACCATGGCACGACGCAAGTTGTCCAAACCCATCCCTGTACTCCCTCAGGTCACAGTAGACGACGACCTGCAGGACTTGCCAGCCACAACCGAGCGAACGGGACTAGCACAGCGGCCACGCTTTCTTCTGTCAGCCGATGGACGGAGACGTCGGTTGACGCAGTCCGTCCATGAACTATCACCGATGAAGCACAGCTTCGAGTTCCATTTGAGCAACTCGGATGTATCTCGAAACGGTTTTCGTTTTATCATAAAACTTCTAAAGCATGGGGTTCAACCCACACATTAGACATTCACTCTGTCAAAACCTGGTCACTTGACCAGGAAAAACTTGAGGGCGGCCCATCATCATCATGACCCAAGTTTTGGAAAGGAAATTCAGTTGCGGCTTCAGTACCAAATGGCCACTTTTAATTGGTTCAAATTAAACAATGTATCATTTGGATTGGCTAAAAAGATGCATGAACGACATTTGATTGGTTGTTTCCTATACCTCGTCGAATTGAGCCAACCGTTACTCATAAGCAGCGTGGTTCAACCCACGAGATACACCGAAGGAAGCTATGGAGTCGCCGACAACAGAGACGGCATCGTCCTTCGTGGCCGGTCCACAGACGACTGCGACATTCTTCCGCGTCCAGCTCATCGGGCATGAAGACGGCGAGGACCCCAACACACACAGCAAAGTTGTGGTACGATCGCATTCGCTGCTGTTGTTGCGCTCTCTCACCAGTGGTTTGTAGCTCTACCGCACGGTGGTGCAGTACAACGGTCAAGCATTCGAGCGTGCTCTGCGGTTCAGTCGATTCTACGCGTTTTACAGCAACCTCACGTCCGCGGAGAAGAAAGCCATCAATGCTTCCTTTCCGCGGCGCTATCCGTTTGTCGCCGAGTTGGACGAGGATCGTCTCAAGAAGCGCGAGAAGCAGGTGCATTGTGTTCATGCGCTTTCGATCGTGGATGCTCATGCTCTCTGCTTATAGTTGAATGTCTTCTTCGCTGAACTGTGTAAAAAGGAGATCACGCCAACGATGGAGCTGACCTTGTTGAACCTGTTCAAGATCAAGGAGCGCCATTTGGGACCGCAAATCCGAGGATCCATTTTGTACGTGCCACGACCCCGCGTCGACGGAACATCGTCCGAGGCGTCATTTCAACCGCCTGTTCGGCGCGTGTTCACGAACGGGAGCAACATCATGACAAGCCGCTCGTCCATTCTGTCGCAGAGCTCGTTGACGTCGAACGCGTCCCTTGACAGCGAATTGCCCCACCAGTACTTCCCCATCCAGCAGCGTTTGTCTATCTCGTCGTCGGTCGCGAGCCCACTGCCGTCGACGTGTTCATGGGTGTCAGCAACGAGTGCCATGCCAGACATCGTGCAAGTGGCTCCACCACGGCCGACGGCCCCCGTGAAGATGAACTTGTTCGTGCCAAGCCCCGTGCTTCCGTCAGCTACGCTCAACTTCGAAGCCCAAGTCCGTAAGCACATGGAAACGATTGGCAAGATGCTGCATGACGACGATCTGCATCTGCTCAGCCCGCCGGCCAAACCCATCCAGTTCCACGCCGCTGCCGTAATCGATTGCCCCGCATCTCGATATATTTAAGTTACATCCCGCGTCCTTGCTAATCGAAATGCGATCGCCATTTGTGTTTACGAAATGTCATCGTGGATTACGCCATGGTCCTCAACAGCTCTTTGGCTTGGATGTCGTGGGGAGCTAATGCTTCGAGCCACTTTTTGGCCGCGTCTTTGTTCTCGGCGACGCCGATGCCGTCATGCAACATGAGCGCGACATTAAACATGGCCATTCCGTGGCTACAATAGCAGAGTTAGCGGGCCGTCCATCCACACGACAGTGTACCCTTTCGTCGCAGCCTTTTGAAAGAGCTGGTACGCCACAGCTTCATCTTTCTCGACGTGGTCCCCAACCCGATACAAGCACCCCATGTTGAACAGCGCATTCGGGACGCCTGCCATCGCGGCTTCTTGGCGCAACGACAAGCCCAACGGGATGTTCTGCGCGACGTGGTGGACCCCGTTAAAGTACCAGTCCCCGAGAATCGACTTGGCATGGGCGTCGCCCTTCTCCGCGGCTTTGTGGTACCAATTGAATGCCTCCGTAGGATTCTACAAGGCGGTCGTGACCTGGTGAACTCTGTGTAGTCCCCATACCTTGGCCACTCCTTCCCCCGAAGCATACATGTTGGCCACAGCCATGTAAGCTGGCGGCAAGTCCGCCTTGGCACATGCTAGATACAGCTCGAACGCCTTGGATTTATTCGGTTTCGTGCCTTCTCCACGGTTCAGGGCTTCTGCATACCCGTACGTCCCCCACGCATGGTTAGCTTCGAAGAGCTGCACTCGCAGAGCCGTAATGAATCGTTGCGGGGTTCAACAGTGTCGACGTACCTGTCGGAAGTGCGTAGTTGCGGCAACGGGATCTGGCTTCAGGTCGCCTTTGCCTTGTTTCAGGCATTGGGCATAACTGTACTTGGCATTCAAGTGTCCTTTCGCCGCTGCTGCTTGCCACAACAAGACGGACTGCATGACATTGCCGGTCGAGTTCTCAAAGATGGCTTGGCCCATTTGGTACAGCTTTGCAGGTGGCGTCGTTTCCGCCAGCTTGGCCACGTGCGATGGAGTGATTAGCTGCAACGGCATCAGTGATGGTGGCGACGACGAGGATTGCGTACCACTGCCGCGCCTTCCGAACCCATGCTTCGAAGCTTATCGATTACACCTTTGAGCTCCTACATGTTTGCTTCGTCGTAACAAGCGTGTGTTGGACATTGTCCCAACCTCATCGATGACGGCGGCTGCCCTCGTGGCAAAGGACCGACGGTGCATCGGCACTCCAATTGAGCTGTCGGAGCGTATTTGGAGATGATTGGTTCAAAATGTATGATTATGGCGAATCATTTTGCGTATTTCAAAGAATCTGGCCAATAGACATGCTTTAAACAAGGTCAAACGAGAAGGTTGAAAGTGCCAACAATTCATATACGTCTCATTAGTACATTGATTAGTATATAGTAATACTACGTACTGCGTGCTCCAAAGCCGCCCCAGCAGAATCGATGCTCTCTTGCCGGTCAAGTAAAGCCACGACAGCGCCTTCGTCGTTGGTGCGTGGCGTACAAAATGTGTGATCGCGGCAGTCGAAGCAACGTCCTTGTTCGCATGGGCCTGGCCACACTGCCACAGGATAGACGGTGAAGCGTCAGCCGCTGTGGCTTGATGCCCACCAGCATGAAGTTCAACTTGGCCCCGTTGGTGTTATGGTGCTGGTGCCTACGCCGCACTTGGTACATTTAAACGCCGGCCAAGGTGTGCAACCGCTCGACCGAAATATGTGGCACACTTCTGCACATTCGTTTTGAATGGAGAGGGTATAACAGAAACAGCGAGGTTTGGTTCAGTCGTGTGAGGCTCCATGATGCAGAAGCAGAGCTTTTTCGGTGTCGCCGCTGCCATCGTCCATGCTGTACGTCACAAGCCACTCAAGAGTGGTCAAAGCGATACTTGAACTAGCCCTTCCCGTCCAGCGACGGCGGGCACGAATGTTTGATGGGCTCGAGAACTTCGACGAAGAACCAGCAATACCCGCGAAGTCGAGCATGGGACATGTTGTGGTAGAGTTGTAATCCCGTCCGCCGCTGTGGCGCATGCACATTTGATGGGCTCGTTTGCCGCACCAGTCAACAAGAAAGCATCTTCCGCGCGAAAAGCCTCCAAGCTTCAAGCAATCTCTCCTTCATGAGTGGTGCACATTGGGATCGCGCACACCACGTTGCCTCCGTGGCGGACGCAAAGATGTTGGACGACACACTTGACTTGTGCAGGTGGGCACTGCATTGGCTGCGGAGGAAGCAGCATTTCGTGATGGGGTTCATGGGGGCGTATCGGTTGAGCACTTCGTGGGGCGGGGGCGGGCAAGTCTGAGGCGAAGGCGACATGAATTGCAAAGTCTAAATGAATGCATGGCCTTTGTTCAAACTGGTGATGTCGAGCAACTTGGAAACTGCAAGAACCAGGCGGTTCATTGCTTGCAGATTAGAGTGCAGCACACTGTCCCGAGCCCACAACGACCACACCAGGGTACAGCACGCGTTGCGAACAAACCAACGGGCCAGGAGCTCGCACGTCGCTGCGCGCATTGTGGCTGACCGATCGATCGCAAAGTGCATTGGTGTACGAGAACGCCAAGGTCGGTCGAGGTTCTTCCGGCAGTACCAGCATTCGCGAAGGAAGGCGACCGAGTCGAAAAGGTTTCGACGAGATCAAATTCACACAAAGCTTGAGCTGTGTGGACTCACAAACTGTCATGGTTCGCTCGCGACTTTAGGTGCCCGCCCTAGTTTTTCCATTCTGAAGTACTACGCAGTGGCAAGGCCATGCCGTTTCTGCGAGGCGTGGTTGCGTTCTTGGATGCGCGCCAAGTCATGCTGTATTGCCCTACCCGAGCCATCGCACGCCTGTCGTGCATCGAAAACAAGCATTTTCCTGGATGCAGAGGCTCCGAGGCGGGGTGTCGATCTCAGCATGTATGCGGTGGCCAGACTGGGACTTTACTTGAACCAGCCAAAGAAACACTAGTTGCGGCACAATCCCAACACTCCGACGGCGCCGGTGGGAGGGTTCGCCTGTAAACTCAATGCGCACAAGAGGGGGAAACCGTGGCCAAGGCTGTGATTTCTGCGACGTGTGCGCTCGACTCAGTCGGTCACGTCACTCACGACAGTTTATTTGGTAAATTCACTCGTGGGGGTGCATCACGCGGTCGTATGCGAGCTTGAGCTGCTCCCAAAACAAAAAGGTAAACACAGTATGGGGCCCCAACCGAATGTACTGGACGGTCCAGCCCTTGAAAGCACCGCGAATGCCTTCCGTCATCAACGTCTTCCTCGCGCAGTCGATCGGTCCGGTGTACAGCAATCCTTTCCCGGTCTGCGGGTCCAGCGGCTGGTTGTACAGGCGCACACTGATTACGTCGAACGGGTTCATGGCGGTGACGCAGAAAAACCCGGCCAGCACCGACGCCCCTAAGTGCAAATACACCGTCTTGTCTTGGAACTGGTAGCCCAAGTAAGGTCGCGCCAGCAGCATGTCCTTGAAAAACTCGTAGCTGCTCAGCTGCGTGGCAGACCCAAAGCTCACGCGGGGGATGGCGCCGCCAATGCCGCGGAAGAACCCACTCAACCCGTCCGATTGATACACTGCTTTGAAGCCCTGGAAGGCAGACGTGTACACATGGCGGCCACGAGTGACAGCGCCGCTGTTGGACGCTTGAAGACGAGCTCGCACAAGGTACTAGAGGCACTGGTGAGGGAAACGCCGAGGCGGATGGACAGGTCGTACAAACGGGTTGCCTGTAAAGGACGAGACCGCTCCAGAAGCCATCCCAGCCAAGTAGTTCTTGATCAGGTAGCCAGGCTGACCCTTTTCGACGCCCAAGGCGCGCTTCGCCGGCTCGTACAAACCAAAGCGCGTACCCGCAATCATAAACTAAACAATTCAGTTTGTGAATTGTCGGATGTTTGTTCGTGGACGTACTTGGTACATGATGGTCATGTTGAGCCCACTCTGAAGCCCGCGGATGCCTTCCGTGCGAGCAATCAGAGCGAGTGACTGGAACGGATTCTTGTACACGCGTGTGACGGCGCGGCCGGAAGAATCCACGAGTTCATTTTGCAGTTGCATGCGGGTTTTGACGACTTCCAGCGGGTTGGTAATCACCGATGCCAAGGACGCCGCGGTCGCGGCGAGGAAAAAGTTGGTCAAGACATCCTTCTCGTTTGCCGCGGGGGCGGCCTTCGGTGGCAGCGCCAGCGGCGACTCCTTCAAACCGGACGAACTCATCACTGCTGTCGCCAGCTTGACACGTCCCCAGCTCAAGACCAGGTGATTTTCAAGAGCGATGATTGGTCGATATCATCCAATCCGAAGGATTCGACGTGTTTTGCTGTCCATCAATGGGTTAAAACGTTGAATCGATACGGTATTTCACATTTAACGTAATCTTGGGAATATAACCCTTCGTTTTTATCCTCCGAGGTTGCAAACATCCCATCATGCGGCCAACGTCATCTCAAGTTTCAATTTCCCCCCAAAACGCCAGTCACCTCTAAAACATGATCTTTATTGAAATTAATTATTCTACCTCCTGTGCAAGTCAAACGCAAATACATTATATGCTGCGTCCATTTCAGGAAGATGCCGTGCCGGCTATGTCTGGGACTCACAGTACATTCTTCGGCCCCATATCGACCAGTTCGTTCGGCTCAGTTCGTAGAGCGTCTACTCACACACATACTTATCGATTTCAAAGCAAACGAACATACCCATCGTCACGAAATTGGGCTTTGGTTGGCATAGTTGCTTGGATTCGACATCAAGTAGTCAAGTTTGATGAGTCGAATGAAATTTGACAACGAGCTATGCATGACTTCAATGGACAAGTCTGGAGGACGACAGGGCACGATGTACTGTAGCGTGGCTTTTCGAAGGGTGTTCGTGAATCAGTAGCATTCCAGAAGCAAACAAGCAGGGAATTCAATGTACGGCGGGCACTACATTCACTGACACGGCACATACACCGCACGTGGGGATTGCATAACTTGTGCGCAAACGATTCAATCTACTAGGGGAATATGCTGTCTCAATAAGTGTGACGGCGCCAGCGCTCAAGCGCCAGAAAAAGTTGCAGGAGTATAAACCACGTGGAAGGAGTATAAAGTATGTTGGCAATAAAAACGCGTTATACGATAAAGTACCGTTCCGGTTGTGTCTTCCAACCAATCAATTATCCGGAAGGCCACCCAGAGCGGCATTTACCAACTCGGCCATGGCGGCAGCACCGCCTATGGAAAAGTACCAGCGCAAGCTGGACAAGGCACTGCGCAAGCTCCACTCGGCAGAAGCGAACGACGATGCGGAAGACATGCTGTCGCTCCGCATGAAGGTTGAAAAGTACGAGCGCAAGCTCAAGCAGCTCTCGACAAAACCCGACCACAAGGACGAGGTGGTCGACAAGTCTGGGATGTCTCTGCTGCTCTTCTACGCATATGTGGAGCCTGCGTGGACACCTGTGCGTCACAAAGAAACGCTGCATTGGGCAGAAGACCTCCTAAACTCGCTTGGGGTGACCGGTCGTCTCCGAGTGTCTCGAGAAGGCTTCAATGGGACTCTGACCGGTCCGTACGATGGGATCCGTGCATTCACAGACGCAATGCGAGAGAGAGACAACGGATACTTTGCCCACATGAACAACCAAGACGACTTCAAGATCACGGACAACCTGCCCGAAGGCCAAGCATTCCCAAAGCTCAAGGTGTTTGCCGTCACCGAGCTCGTCAACTACGGCTTGGGTGTGGACAACGCCCCAAGCGTCAACAAGGGCGGCGTGCATTTGGAGCCCAAGGATTACCACAAGAAGCTGCTCGAGGTACGCCCATCAACTGTCATGAACATCGCTTGATGGTGCATGCCAGGACAACACGGTCGTCATCGACATTCGCAACAGCTACGAAGCTGATATTGGGCGATTTGCGCCAGCGACGGGAGCAGAATATATCGATCCCAAGGTAATTTCTCCTCGTAGTTTTGTATCACTCTCCTCAGTTTTCGTCATCCATTCGTGTCCATATTTCCCGAATTCCCCGTGTTTCTCACTGCATGTCGCCTCCAACAGTATCATTTCCCCCCAAGTGTTGATATTTATGGGCAATTTTCGCATGAATTGCACCATCAACTGTGTTTTCACTTGTCGAGTTGGCGTGGATACAATGCGAAAAAACCCGAAAATAAAACAACCAAGAAATGACTCTGACGCAAATTTCCATGGCGTAGATGCGAGTCAGCACAGAGTTCCCGGCATGGGCGAAAGAAAACATCGAGAAACTCAAGGACAAGCAGGTGCTCATGTACTGCACGGGCGGCATTCGGTGCGAGCGCGCGTCGGCGCTCTTTCGAAGTCTCGGCCATGATCGCGTGTTCCAGCTCAAGGGCGGAATCCACAACTACCTGACCGAGTACGCAAAGGAGGGCGGGGGCCACTGGATCGGAAAAAACTACACGTTCGACAAGCGGTTCGCGCATGGAGCGGTGGAAGACGAGAAGAAGGAAGCCGAGGCCGAGGGCGAGATCGTCGGCAAGTGCGTCGCATGCCGAAAGCCATGGGACAAATATCGGGGGCGGAAGCGGTGCCCTGTGCCGTGCGGGGTCCCGCTCTTGCTCTGCAACGAATGCTTGGCGGCAGACGTGTCAGCCAAGTGCTTTTTATGCCAGGAAGATGACGAAATCGGAAAGAAGGAGCGATTCAACAAGCGCCAGCATTACAACGAGCTCGCGCTCAAGGCCAAGGCAGCCGAAGTCCCGGTACCAACCTGCAAGAAGGTCGCCGTTCACGCGTGTGGAGTGTGCAACGAGTCGTTCACCAGTCGCAACGGTCTTTTCAAACACGTCCGCGCCACGGGCCATGCGAATCGCAAGGCAAAAAAGCAGAAAACCACCGCATAATATATAGCCAACTGGTTGGATGCTTCAACTTTTCTTAGCGGGGCCTACATGCAGTTGAAGGACTTGGCAGGTCGCGAAACGAAAACCCGCTTCGTGCAGGTGCCTCCAGCGCTGCAGCAATTCTGTGTGTGGTCCACTCGGCGGGGATAGCTGGTCATGCTCCGATGTTCCAACGGGCGCCCTGCGAGGACAAAGTCCGAACGTTCTTCGTGGATTCCAGGAAGGTTGCGCGAAACAGTGGAACAGGATCTCCTCAGTTTGTGAAACATTCCACCATTCTGTGGTCGACTCGGCGGTGGTGACGATCGAAGCCGCCGAGTTTCGGAGAGTTGTGCAGCCTGGATCTCGAAGATAGCTCACAACGACGGCTGATGGGTCTTGCATGGGAAGGCGGCGGATTCCTTCCCCAGCTTGCGCCTTGTGTCCGGCAGCTTACACGAAACAGTATGGCTTTCACGAGGCACTGTTGCAAAAGCTGGTGGTGGCTCATGGAGCTATACGTTCAACCGCCCACAGAGTCGCGGCGAAGTGGCCAACGTGTCGGCCACCGACATACCGATTGAACATCGTGTCCGGGGCGTCGATTCACAGCCGCCTCCGCTGTGGCCTAGCCTGATGCAGCCTACGGGCAAGTATCACTAACGACGATGCATTGTGTGAGCCGCTGGGGACGCCAAAGTAGCATCGGCAGTAGCTGTAGCAACTCCCAGACGGGTTTGAAATTTACCTTTTTAGCATGCACGGGGTAACAATGGCCGAGGCCAGGTGAATAGCACCTAGCGCTCCTTGGCAACCCCAAAAGCTCAGTTCCTGGGTCCGTCAACCCGTCAAAGCGCAGGCTATACGCGGACGCGGATTCAGAAAGAGTCCAAAGGATTGTAGAGCCGAGGCTAGGGGGGGACGCACGAGGGCGGAGGAGTCGCCTTCGTGACAGGCAAGCTGAATTGCATTGGTAACTACACAGGCGACGTGCACTGCTCGCCCCCCCCACTGGTGCAAATGAAGGCGATAGCACGAGTGGGACGAATCAACTCAATGCAGAACTTGCTCTTGTCCAGATGGAACATTCCTCACATCCATGGGTTTGTCCTCGGCGGCGCAATTGTCATGTAGTGGGTTCAACAAGAGAGGGATCTAAGGCATGCTGCATCCATATCGTTTTCCAAATCAGCCCAGACCGTCGTCACGTCCAAGGGAGTCGCGCCTCGATCTCGGGCACCTCGCCCAGCTGGTCACAGCAACTTTCGCACTGCCCATCATGGACACTCAACATGGTCGATTCACATTTGAATTCTCATCATGATCACCAACGCCTTCCTAGCAAGCCCTCATTCCCACGCCGCCCGTTGCTCGTTTAACGGATGCACAAAGCCCCCCATGGCCGACTCGATCAAATGCTCCTTCCACTGCAACCGAAGCCAATGCACTGTCGCCCTCTGCAACAACCAAGTGTACGCCCGGCAGCTGTGTGTTCGCCACGGTGGCAAGAAGGTGTGCGAGACCCCCGGGTGTATCACGCACGCGTGTGGAGGGGGCCATTGCTTAAGGCACGGCGGCATCGCAAGGAAACGATACTGTTCCGTCGAGGGGTGCAGCAGACAAGCCCACAAAAACCAAAGATGTGTTCGGCACGGCGGCGGGCGGTACTGCCAAACCCCCCAGTGCTCGTCCCATGCCAGATTTGGGGGCTTTTGCTTGCAACACAATGTCGACTTGGAGCCGATCCAGCACGTGAATTCGTCGTTCAAGGAGCCGGCCAACTACGTGCGCATGCTGGACCCTATTGACTCGGCCATCCTCGAGTGCCTTGCAACTTACAGCGTCCACGCGACCGATTCTTCGTCGTTCGCGTGGAGCTGCTCAAGCAACATCAACGCGCCTTCCCGCGACAGGTTTCCCATTCTGTAAGACGCCGTCTGTCGTCACTGAAAGAAGATTCTTCATTCGTCTGAGCTCGCTCCTATGATTATTCCAAGCTCGCGCTGGCAGCTGTACAAGGGCCCCTTCACCCTCTGTTTACCATGGAGTGGATCTTGTCTCGAATGAATGGTTATTTTTCAATTACTGGCACACGTAGCTTGCCGAGGACAGGCGCCTCCTTCTCCCCCCAAGCACGTCGGCATTGCTCG